TTGACAAACATGTAGACTCCCGTGGGCTCGATGGCGCGCGCGATTCCCTTCCACGATTTGATGATGTTGAACTTTTGCTTGGCGGTCAGGGGGAGGCGGGGGTCGGGGGGAGGGGGCTCGGGTATGTCGGGGATTCCTTCTGGGTCGTCCTTGTTCTTCGAGGATTTGGTGATCTGGCAGCCCATCGGGAAGGCAACGGCGGGCGGCGAGGGGAAAGGGCCCGCGCTTTTCGAGCTGCTTTTGCTTTTTTTTTTTTTTAGTTTTTTTTTTTGTTTCTGTTTTTTGTTTTTTTTGTTTTGTTTTTTTGTTTTAATGCTCTCTCTCTCTGTTTTTTTTTTCTTGTGTTTCTTTGTTTAATTATTTATGTCGATTTTATTTCTTTTCTTTTGTTTTTTTCTTTTATAACTATATATTTTTGATGATTTTTTTATGTTTATCTAAGTTGTTGTTTTTTTCTCTCTTATTTTAATGGACGGTATGGATTTTGTGTATTACTATTTTCTCATTTCTTTGATCGGTTTATTTGGCAACTTCTATCTATTTCTTTCAAGGATAATTCAGTGGATTTTCTATAGCATATGTTTTGTATTTCCTTGTTATCAACACTAGGACGTTTTCACCTGTATTAAAAAAATATATATAAAAATAAATGAATAAATCTAGGGATTACTTCATAGAAAAAATAATAAAATGCACCATAAACATGAACAGCAAATATCGACCACTGAAATAATAATAATAACAATAATAAATCAGAAATCAAAACGGACCGGAAAATAATGCAGCTTCACATTTTCTATGAAGAAGACCAACAGAAAACGGAGCGACACGTCCACCCGCTCTCACCGCCGCTGAAAGACTGACGGCCTACGCTGGCACTCACGTACACACAGCGCGGTTTATGGCACAACTGGCACCTGTGCCTTCGGTTCAGCGAGGGAGAAGACGAGGAAGAAGAGGAGGAGGAGGAGAAGGAAGAAGAGGAGGAGTTGGAGGAGAGGGAGGAGGAAGAGGAGGAGAGAGATGGAGGAGGAGGAGGAGAGAGATGGAGGAGGAGGAGGAGAAGGGATAAGAGGAGGAGTTGGGGGAGAGAGAGGAAGAAGAGGAGGAGGAGGAGAAGGAAGAAGAGGAGGAGTTGGAGGAGAGGGAGGAGGAGGAGGAGGAGAAGGGATAAGAGGAGGAGAGAGAGGAAGAAGAGGAGGAGGAGGAGAGAGAATAGGAGGAGAAGGAAGAGAAGGAGAAGGAAGGAAGAAGAGCGGTAGAATAGGAAGAGGGGGAAGAGGAGAAGTAGGAAGCGTAGGATAATGAAGGAATAAGAGAATGATGATAAAAAGATGGAGGCGTAGGAAAAAGGAAGAATAAGAGGAGGAGGAAAGAGAGCGGTAGGATAGGAGAAGAAGAAGTAAGATGGAATAAGAATTGTGGGAGGAGGAAGAGAAGGAGATGAAAGAGAAATAGGAGGAAGAAGGCGAAGAAAAGAATGAGAGGAAGGGAAAAAGGAGGAGGAGGAGAAGAAGGGAACTTAATGAACAGAAGAAGGAAAAAGAGGAAAAGGAGAAGAAAAAAAGAAGAAAAGAGGAATCAGAGACAAAGAAAGGGAGGAAGGAGAATAGGAGAAGGGAAGAGGAGCAGATGAACAAGCTGAAATAGGAGGTGAAGAAAGGAGGGGGAAGGGGAGGAGAGGAGGAGGAGGAGGAGGAGGAGGAGGAAGAGACGGAGTTTGACGCAACAGGTGTTATTGTGCGATGCTCTTTTGTTTTTTGTTTTTCTCTTTCCTTTTTCCTTTTCTTCTCTCTGAATATATAATCATGTGATTTTTCCTTCCTGTTCGTTCTCTCTCTTTTTTTTTTCCTCTTTGCATTTTATCATTTTTTAATTTTCTTTTTTTTTGTCGCAGTTTGTCCCACTTTTCTACTTCGTTTTCCCCCATCCTAATTTCCGTCTCCATATCCCTTTTTTTTTTTTTTTTTAGCTGTCTCTATCACTTCATTTAACCTTCCTCGTGGTTTTACCATCTTCTTCGTAATTGTTTCCTTTTCTGTTTGGTTCTTAAGCAGGGTTTGTATCGTTGCTCAGTGACTCAGAGTATCCACAATTTATTGTAAGATCTGTTCGTCTGCTTATTAATGTTAGAAATAGGAATTATATAGGTTGGAATGGTTTTAATACATCAGCTCTTTAGAAATATGTTAAAAAAAAGATAAACATGCATCGCATTCTAGTCAAAGTCTAAGGACAACACCGTATTCGAATGAACTTTATCATGCCTTTCCTTCCGAGATAATATAAAAAAAATGAGATAAAAAAAGTAAGCCACGGTTTACAAAAGCCAAGCCTGTGCTATTCAACCAGTAATATTACAAACTGACTTTGTTCTTAAAACGGCTTCTCTCTTTTCTCCCGCTCTCTCTCTCTTTTCAAATCGCGCGGGAAATCGACCTTTGTCCGGACATGATGGTGTTGACTTCAGTTCGGTTTTCGAAGATGCACAGAGACACTAATTCACTTATAGACAGCACAGGTAACGGTTTTTTTTTTTTTTTTTTTTTTTTTTTGTATAGATGCGTAAAGACGTTAATTCACTTATTGTTGGGGCAAAGGATGCTTTATCAGGTAAGTGCGACATGGAATTTAATATGAGGTTACTATATATTATATGCGCGTCCGAAGGTGTTCCTAGACTATTTGTCCGAAAATACGTTTGTTATATACTTTTTTAGTTTTACCTCTCACCTATGGCGTGAGCACTACAGATGTACATTAACGTGAACATATCGATTCTTATGTTCTAAACGAAAGTAAAAAAAAAAAAAAAAATCGTACAGTTGGTATAAAATCACCTGTTATTTAATGGACGCAAAACGTGTTAGCTAAAACTGTAGTTATAGTAACAAATTCATTAACATTTCCCAGATATGAAAGCTGGGTGAAGTCTTTGTCAAAGCACCAGTAGGAGTGGACGCCATCAAAACATCTTCATTTTATTTATTATATATTTCATGAGGCTCGATCTACAGAACGCATATATAGAGCTTTATTTTAAACAAAGGAAGAGATTTCACGATAATGAGGGTAAAAAAAATACAATAATAACAAAATAAAGAAAATAAAAACATTACGAACAGATAACTTTCTAAAACGACCAAAAGGGAGATCCCACTAACTAAACTAAAAAGAAACAAAAAAAAACGTTTAGTCAAAGTTTACGATCTTTTTCTTTTGGTTTTACTGAAAGCTACGTCATTAAATACACTATATCAGTTTCCTGTACTAATTACTTATTCATGCTCAAGAACAGACTGATATTCCGTAACATGTAATGACGAACTTTGATATCATAATTCCAATTTTCTTTTATCGCTAAGAGGGATAGATAGCGAAAGACGCAAAGTGCATATTCAATTTCTATTTCAAAATACGTTACTCCATTAGTTACAGAGGTTATTCATTCTATTTTTTTCATGAATTGTAGCTTTACAGTGCTGGTGAATATCAGATACACAAAGAGAAATAAGGACCGAGGGAGAGAAGGAGAGAAAGGGAGGGGGGGGGGGGAGAGGGAGAGAGAGAGAGAGAGGAAGAAAGAGAAAGAGAGAGAGAGAGAAAGAAAGAGAGAGAGAAAGAAAGAAAGAAAGAGAGAGACAGACAGACAGACGGACAGACAGAGAAAGAGAGAGAGAGAAAGAGAGAGAGAGAGAGAGAGAGAGAAAGAGAGAGAGTGAGAGAGAGAGAGTAAGAAAGAGAGAGAGAGGAAGAGAGAGAGAGAGCCCATTAGCGCCCTTGCGTCCCAAGGGAGTGTGAGGGAGATGAGGATTGGAGGGGGGAGGGAGGGAGAGAGGGGGGGAGGGAGAGAGTGAGAAAAAGAGAGAGAGAGAGAGAGAGAGAGAGAGGAAATGTGCCTGCAGCTATATGCCACTAGCTTTGTCATTAGTAAAGATTTCCCTCGCCATTATGTCAACACGGTTATGTGTGCATGTGTGTGTGTATGTGTGCATCTCTACATGTATGTATGTATGTATATGTGCGTGTGTGTGCGTGTGTGTGTGTGCATGCGTGTATCTCTACATGTATGTATGTATGTATATGTGCGTGTGTGTGTGCATGTGTGTATCTCTACATGTATGTATGTATGTATGTATGTGTGCGTGTGCGTGTGTGTGTGTGCATGTGTGTGTGTGCATGTGTGTATCTCTACATATATGCGTGTGTGTGTGTGCATGTGTGTGCGTGCATGTGCGTATCTCTACATATATGCGTGTGTGTGTGTGCATGTGTGTGTGTGCATGTGTGTATCTCTACATATATGCGTGTGTGTTTGTGTGAATTGCAGATCCTGAACAAAATTTGCAACACGCTCCCTAAATTATATTCCAATATCCATTCATTTCTAACTATATTTATTTTCTGCTGCGAAAATCGGACAAAATGAAAGAAAAACCAAAGAGAGAGTTAGTATTTTCTCTTGCAAAAAAAAGAAAAAAAGAAAAAAAAAACAGTGACGGAGACAGTGAAGTATATTTTAAACCGAGCATGTGCAATGATGAACATGAAGAGGCATCATTATTGTCTTGAATAAATAAAAAAATAATATATATATTTTTTAAAATCTAATCTAAATCACGCACACATACATAAATCTAAAAATGAAAAAAAAAAATTAAAATAAAAAAGTCTTAAAATGTGAGTTAGTGGTTTTAAAGATGGCAGAAAACCACCCCAAGGCCTTGTTATAAGATGTACTGAAGATAAATTGCAAATCAACGACGATATATTGTTTCTATAGTTTTGTATTTTTGCAAATGGGTGCATTGCAATGATGGATTTAAAGCAGTAAGGACACTGCGAGGCGAATAATAGAAGGAAATGGATAAAAGAGGAATAGGAAGACTATAGAAAAATGAAGAACAGAGGAATAGGGAGAATAGAGGAGAAGGAAGAATGTAGAAAAATGAAAAGGAGGAATAGAGAAAAACGAAGAACAGAGGAATAAAAAGAACAGAGGAATAAGAAGAACAGAAAATTAAAGAATAGAGAAAAAGGAATAATAGAGAAATATAAAGAATAGAAGAAAAGGAAGAAATGAAGAATAGAGAAAAAAGAAGAATAGTGGAATAGGAAGGACAGAGAAAAACAAAGTATAGAGGAATAGCAAGAATTGAGAAAAATACAGAATAGAAAGGAATGAAGAATAGAAGAAGATCTGCCCCAAAACCAATATAAGAATAAAACAAATAAAAATAATGGAAATGAAGTAAAGAAAAAAAAACGAAACAAATAAGAGAAAAAATAAATAAACAAAAAATTAAATAAAAACAAATAAACATAAAATGAAATAAAGACACACTTTTGAACAAAACTGGAGATTCTCCGCTAATACTTCAAGAGCGCGAGTTATGACAGATGGCAGATGACAGACTTTGCAGGATCAACTAGCAATTCTGAGCACCGGTTCTCCACCCTGTAAAGAAGGTAAATTTCCTCTGTGACATCATCAATGACGTCACGAGAGGATGAAGTTGCAAGGGACTTTATTGCGGCTGATTTAGAACATAGCCAGATCAGCTTGGATATTAGAGGGAAAGACATTCGTGATGTTTATTACACTGGATTTCAACTTGGGTGGAAATGACGAGGATGTCTGGTTCGGGGTTAAGGCGTGTTGGTCGCATTGTGGTCAAGGTCGGATTATGACCTTTTGGGGCCCCTAGACTAAGGAAATTATGGGGCCCACTCAGAATATTTTTTACTGGTGATATATTTTAGCGACATTTACATAGCTTGAAGTAAACTTATTGCAAATTCTTTAAATAAACTAGCATAGCTATCTTTTGTTTGTCGATAAAGATATTCTTTAAATACCACTATTTTACTATATTTCAACACAACCGTACAAAAAAAAAAATT